CTGCAGGCCTGGTCATCCCAACTGCCTCCCTGCTGGCCTGATCACCACAACTGCCCTCCCCTGCCAGCCATCTTGTGGCTGTGGGCACCGCCATCTTTGAAGGTGTGGCAGTCAATTAGCATATTCCCTCCTTATTGGCTGTGGGCACTGCCATCTTTGTGACAGCATGAGGGTAAATTAGCATATTCCCTCTTTATTAGATAGGATAAGTATATTTTTATTGATCTCAGAGAGGAAGGGAGATGGAGAGATAGAAACATCAATGATGAGAATCACTGATCAGCTACCTCCTGCACGCCCCCCACTGGGGATGGACCCCGAAACCCGGACATGCCTCACTGGGAATCAAACAGTGACCTTCTGGATCATAGGTCAACCACTGAGCCACACCGGCTGGGCTTGACTATTATTTATTATTATTTTTATATTAACAGTCAAAAAGGGACATATATTTGAGGTGCAAGTTTGCTGCCATTATTGGGGGGGAACATCTGTGGGAATTAGGATGATCCTACCACAGGTCAAGGGCCTCAGATTCAGTCTTTTTGGCGTTTTCTGTAAATGAGCTGTGGGACTGAAAGAAGAAGCCATTCCTAATAACTATGAAACTCAGACCATACTCCCACAGCGTGCTACAAAACATAGTTTAAAATAAATGTATCTTAGGAATAACATAATTACACTTCTTTGCACTTGTTATGTGAAACATTAACGTGGTAAATGCAAACCTCTTCAGTATACCATGATTTTTGCACTCCTGTTACTTAAAAAAGTATTTTTTAAAACACACTGGACCTTCAAAACTCAGTGTGGGAGCTCCCTCTCCCTCTGAGGAGCCCCAGCTCTGTTCAGCGGAAGGAGGAACGTGCCTCCTCTCCCATTAGTCAGGACGGATGCTGTCAGCAAAGCGGGACAGAAAAGAATTAAATGCTCGTCGAGGTTGAACTGGCTTTCATTTCCAAGCTGCGTCACTCCCTCAGCGCCCATCGCAGGTTCTGTGTGCTGATCTTTTCCCCTCTCCAGGCTGCAGGCTCTTTATCGAATCATAAAGGGAGCCCCAGAGATGTAAAGGCAGCCCTCAAGGTCGCCAGGCAGCGAGCAGCTGCGCCAGCCGAGTCCACGCCTGGCTCAGCCCGCTTTTTAAGACGCACAGTCAGCAGATGTGCTATTTGGGGGAATTCCTGCTCAGAGTCGCTGCTGCTTTCGTCAGACCGCACACATCTCAGGGGGAGCCACCTCCTCTGTATCGCCCAGAAACAGGTGGAAAATGGCAGGGCCTTCCCATTGGTTAAGTCAGTGGTCAGCAAACTGCGGCTCGCGAGCCACATGCAGCTCTTTGGCCCCTTGAGTGTGGCTCTTCCACAAAATACCACGTGCGGGCGCGCACGTACAGTGCGAAATTGACTTAAAACTTTAAAGTTTATTAAGTTAATTTTAGGGAACGTTGTGGAGTGAAAGAAGATGTAGTGTCGAGGATTGAGAAAGGTATGTTGAGATGGTTTGGACATATAGAGAGGATGAACGAAAGGAGATGGACGAAACAAATACAGTGGGGCCTTGATTTACGAGTTTAATTCGTTCTGAGACCAAGCTCGTTAAGGAGCTCGTTAACTCAAATTACTCTGTCAACCCAATGCAAAAAATCGGCCGAGAGAAGGCTGGTATCTCAAAAAACTCATTAGTCGGGACACTCGTAAGTCAAGGCCCCACTGTATACAAGATGAGTGTGGATGGGAGAGTTGGAAGGGGTCGACCTCAGCGAACGTACCTCAGTCAGATTGAGGACGTTTTTAGCAAAGGCCAGTTTAGGAGTACCCTAATTAAGTTAATAACAATGTACCTACCTATATAGTTTAAGTTTAAAAAATTTAGCTCTCAGAAGAAATTTCAATCGTTGTACTGTTGATATTTGGCTCTGTTGACTAATGAGTTTGCCGACCACTGGGTTAGGTAATAGGTGCTCATTCTCATCAACCTTATGCAGCCTCAGATTTTCAAAATCACGCTGATAATAACGAACATCGGGCACGGAGCGCTGATGTTTTTCTATTTGCCGGATCAAAGGCCTCAGGTCCCCGCATGTTCCCAACGCCGCGTCGTGCTCATCTCTTCGTCTCACTGTGGTCCAGTGAGAAGAGTATGAGCTTGCCCACCAGCTTGTCAGAACATTAAGAGGTTGGCGGCTACAGCGTTGGGGCGGAGACGTGAGGGGCAGGCGTGGCTTTACAGTGCTGGTGTCTGTAAGTCCGTACGACCTGTTTTGGAGGCAGCTGTTCATTTTATTGTATTTTACATGCACTTCCTCTGCAACCTGAACCCTCCTCCTAGGCGTCTGATCTAGAGAAAGGCTCACTTCCCCAAGAGGCAGGTACAGGGGTGCTGACGGCCGGCGGGGACGGCCAGGGTGCCTGGGGCAGGGGCGTGGTTCAGGCAGCTCGGAGGCTCCAGTCTTTGGGATGCTGTGACTCGGTTTGGCAAACGGGAGGGATGAATTCATCTACGCCGACCAGGAAGGATCTCCAGGACGTGCTGCTCAGTGGCAAGAAGCAAGCTGCTCAGGAAGGCCGTCGAGCGGGTGGTTGTAATCTGTGATGGGATGTGTGTGAATAGGGGGACGGACCGGAAAGCTACACGCCGGAGCGTGGTGACCAGTGTCCTCCTGCGGCTGGCAGGGACCGTGGACTAGACTGTTTTGTAACGTAGATGCAGGTTTCTTTAAGCACAGGATGAACAGTCTTCCTATTACAAACAGTGCTGCAGCCGGCACCGTGGCACAGACGTCTGTGCGCCCTCGTGCAGGTGAATCTGGGAGGTAAACTCCCAGGAACAGAATTGCCGGGTCAAAAGGCAGCTGCGCTGGTAACTGACAGATACTCACAGAATTCCTCTCGTCAGTGTTATTCCATTCTGCACTCCATCCGTGACGTCGGTATGTGCCTTTAAAAAAAATCCAGTAAAATTCATGTAACGTAAATTCACCATTTTGCTGTGTACAATTCAGTGGCATTTGGCGCCTTCACAATGTTGTGTGAGGCCGAGACTGTGGTCTGCAGTGTCTGAAAGAGGTTTACAACGGGAGTGCATTCGTGAGCTCCTTGTTTGGTTAAAAATGAAAAGAAAAATTAAAGAGAATGAGCTTCAGAGTCAGACAGTCTGGGTCTGGACCCAGGGGCGGCCCTTGGAGAGCTGTGTGACCGCATGAGGCTCAGTTCCCACATCTGGGAGACGGAGAAAAGCCCGCACGGTGGGGCCCGTGAGAGGGAGGGTTAGAGGCAGTGCCGTGGGAAGAGCTGGATCTCACTGCAGTGGTAGGTGTTGGCTCCTTCCTCCCTCGTGCACCCGGAGGCAATGCATTCACGGGCTCTGGCCTCGACAGCTGAGTTCAAATCCCACCTCCCCCCTTTCTCTGTGCAGCCTTAGGCAGGGGCCTCCACCTTTTTGAGCCTCAGTTTCAACATTTAACACACGTGGGAGGACTTTGAAAACTGGTGACACAGTACATGATGGTGAAAGTAGGGCTTTTGCAGCCCCCTGGGGTAGTGCTCGTACCCTAAGTGCCCAAGGGACAAAGGAC